AGAGAGAGAGAGAGAGAGCAAATAGGCTCGTAGGTGCCTTCTTACTCCAACCATTTAGTCTTCTTCTTGTGTCAAAGATGCAGGTTGTTAGTGGTGGACAGTCACTTTGGATATACACTCTGCTATTTACTTCTCTACAACTCTGGGGTAAGTATCATAATCATACTAGAGGTGTTTCTAAACACATTCTTTCTTTTGTCTTGTCTGACAGCTAAAGTAATATACAATTCAATTTACTGATTCTGTTTTCATCAATTAGAAGGACAATGGTGAAATTGAACACAGATCAACCATAAGACCACTGACAGGTAAAGTCAGTGGGTGGGATATATTAGGCAGCAAGTGAACATTTGTCCCTCAAAGTTAATGTGTTAGAAGCAGGAAAAGTGGGCAGCATGAGGATTTGAGCGACTTTGACAAGAGCCAAATTGTGATGGCTAGACAACAGTACCTATCTAAAGTGGTCTAGGGAAGGAAAAGCAGTGAACCGGAGACAGGGTCATGGACGGGCAAGGCTCATTGATGCACATGGGGAGTGAAGGCTGGCCTGTGTTGTCCGATCCATCAGACGAGCTACTGTAGCTCAAAAAAAAAAAAAAAGCTGAAAAAGTTCATGCTGGTTCTGATAGAAAGGTGTCAGAACACACAGTTTGTTGGGTTTGGGGCCCAGTCAGGGTGCCCAGGTGGTCATAATGTTATGGCTGAGCAGTGTACAATCATTAACACAAAGAATGTGGCTTTTGTAAATGTACTAAATATTGACGTTACAGGCAGTATCTATTTCAAGTTTTCACAACTCTCTACTGCAATCACTGATCTGGTAAAAAGTTAGCGTCACCACATGCTGCAATCACAGCTGTGTTATTACTTTTTGTTCAACTGTTGCTCCATGCTGCTTAAAAGGAATTTGTGAAACTGACTTCTGCTATACATTTTACATTTCCCTCCCTTGTCTAGGAAGACTATCAGCTTCCACTTCCTCTCCCAATCTTCCGGCACCTGAACTTAGAATTAATTTAAGGTCAAAGGACTGGGTGGTTCTGGTCTGCCGGGCCCCAGAAGGCCACCATGGGGTTTTGTTCATGTTGTACCAAAGCAGAGAGCAGGTACATTTTTTAGATTTTTTGTGTGTTTTCTATTGTGTTTTGTGCTACCACTGGGCAGTCCTGTGATTTTATTTTTCTCTGTATTTCTTTTCATTTATTGAGGTGGACGCTCAGGAGCAGCAGTCTGGTGCTGAGGAGGTCCAGTTCACTGTGAGGTTAAAGGAAACTGGTTCAGACCAAGCTGAACTCTATTGCTGTCTGTACAAGAACCGGGATGGTTGTTACAGTGCGTTTAGTCCCTATTTGCAGCTGGACCTGCAAAAAGGTGTCTGTATTACTTGTATCTATCATACACACTCCATGTTGGTATTTAAAAAAAAAAAAAAAATCACATAAGCTATTATTATAATAAAAAGAAAGAAGCAAGACCCTGGACTAATACAAAGCAGAGAGAAGATACAGTCTAGACTGCAACTCCACATTTTATTAAAAGTGTAACAGAAGTTGATCTGGTAAATCTGCACCCAGGCCTGATTTTACTTATGATATGAAACAATAAACACTCCCATCCGCTCCTCTCCAACCCTGAAAATACACTGCAGCATGCAGGTGTTCTCTGTGGTCTCTTATTGTCCTCTGCTCTGTGGGTGTACGTATAGTGATTGTTACATCCTGCTCTTCATTTAGAAACCACACACCCTCACACATACACACACACACAGACATCAAACACTGTGCATACTGGCTTCCAGCGTTGACGGTTAGGGAGGGAAGTGTGTGCAACTGTGGCAAACCAAGGTCACATTATTGTAGGTTTTTAGTTAATTTGTGCCATAGAATTAAATGAGTAAAAGTAATGAGGCCACAAAAATATAGAGATAATCGTTTTCATTTTCCTCTCCCTTTCTGTACTTCTCCAGTTGCTGCATCTGCTCCCTCCATACCCTCTTTCCCTCCTCCCGTCTTGTCTGTGCAGCCCTCCACTGGTGTGGTAAAACGAGGTGACATGCTATCCTTCAGCTGCTCGGTCCCCCCCCTGGGGTCCCAGTCTCAGCCCCAGTTAAGCTATAAGAACAAACCAGTGACCTTCCTTTTGCTGAGGACTGCTGAGCGAACAGGGGCAACATCTATTATCCTGCAACCTAAAGCCAATCTGTTATCGGACCCTAAACCCCAGCCGGGAGTCTTCACTGTGGGGCCAGTGACGGGAGGAGAGGAGGGCGGGTACACCTGCATTTACCAGATCACCAAAAAAAGGGGATTGATTAATTCAACTGTCAGCAACATGGTTCAAATCACAATTATAGGTAAAGATGTTCAACAAGACTTTTTACTCTCATGGCCCACAAATCAAGCACAGCGTTGGTTCAGGCAGGCCACAAAGTCAAGCTGTGCTCTCAATTCCAGCTACATGAGCTGATGGCTCAGCTGATTCCCTCAAGCATCCAATTGGCAAATGTCATTCAGG